CGGCCTCTACTAACCATGATATCTATTTTTGAAAACATTGTATGTTCTTATTCCGGTTATTAGCCTAGGTTACTATGTGATGCGCACAGCATACAAGTATAGACCAGGTCGCCTGGATTGGAACAAAAACATCTCATGTTTATTTTTTGAAAGATGGTTTGCTACTCGCAAGTAGGCTAAAACACGGATTTCAATGAGTTCTTCCAACTCAAACAATCCAAAGCCCTCGAAATCCAACAACTGAGTGGTGACGGGCTTGCCCGAGGTGGGTGGTAGGATAACCTTGTTATCAATCAAATCCTGCACTTCATGACGAAGGTGGGAACATCCATCGGTACTGTGACCGGACTGTTGATGGTACGCGCAGTACAAGGTAGCATCATGAGTGGCGGTGAGATTCTTCGGGAGTGGCCAGGACTCCAAAGGCTTAAGATGTCCATTCTCTCCCCTTTGCCTTAGAGAGAGCTTCTCTCTATATGCCTCTTGTAAAGCTTATAAGACAAGCTTTGCAAGAGGGAGATCCCTCCATACACGTGTATGGAGGGGAGCAAAAGTTATACAGCTGTCCAAAAATATCTGCAAAAGCAGATGAACAGCAATCGGCCGGCAAAAAATGCCATCTTGGCCAAACAAAGTGCCGACCGGCACAAAATAGTGCTGACCGGCAACAAAGAGTGCCGGCCGGCAAACTATATTGCCGGTGGCAGCAAAAACCAGCCGGTGGCATCTAGCCACTGCCGGTGAAGGGTGGGGATGGTCTACAAGCCCCACTCTGCCTCTCAAAGGCAAGATGCAAGTGTTTGGTGCAAAACCAGACACTAAAAGGTCAAGTTCGGAGATCCTGAGACAAGGCGCGCGAGCCGAGGCCTCCGGGAACTCCAAACGAACACAAACATGGAAGATCACCGTGTGTTCAATCAGTGACGTCCAAGTCTTGAGGACGGTCAAAAATGGGGTGTCTACACTATGCTTGTCATTGGTCCATGATCATCACCTTTTAAGTGTGCTTAAAAGTCCCCTCTTTGTGCTTAAGTGTTGGACCATGTTCGCATGCATGTTTGTATGTAAATTTGCCTTCATTTCCATAGCATTTTGGCTACTTATTTAGACATGGCTGAGGCTTGTCCATATTAGTTTAAGTCCACCGTTTGCATGTTGTTCAAATGTTGTTACATTGCTTCATGCTTGCATGTTTTGGTTGCATAGTGTTTTGCATGCTCATTGCTTGCATTATTGCATTTTGTTGCATTGCTTGAGCTATATGGCATGTTGTTGCATGCCTAGGTTGTAATGCATTTGGCATGCATTCTCTCTTTTAGTTGCCTAACATGTTGTTGCATGTTTTACCATTGATATGTTGTTACATGCTTACACGTGTGCATGTTTGCCCTCATGTTCATATTGCATGCTTAGCTTGCATTTGGCATGCATGTCCTGCCTCTTGAATCACCGTGATAGAGGTTGGGCCCTTTAGGTGTTTATGTGCATTTCATTTAACATCAAAATGCACAACTTGACACCTCGGACCATCATGCATTGAAATGCGCGATTGGTGGTCCGAGAGTCGAGGACCAAACTCCCTTGAGTTCATAACATGATAGGGAGGGTGGTGTTGTAAACATTTACTTTAAAATGCATTGTCATGCCTAGTTTGCCCTTTGCTGCTGTCAAAACAGGATTCTGTAGGAAGATATAGTCGACCGACCACATTGAGTGCCGGCCGACTAAATATCTTTGGCCGAGAGCCATATCAATGGTCGATGACCAGTTTCCCCTGGCCGGTGGTGTTTCCTCTTGGTCGGTGACCTTCCACAATGATCAGGAAGTGATTCTGGAGCATCATTGAGACTTGCACAATTTTCAGAGGAGCAGAGCAGGGTAAACAGAGGCAGCTTGTGCATGGTGGTGGATTTCAGAGCGAAGCCGAGCACGCATGCATTGGACCCTCTTCCCGAGGCTGTTTTACCACTTTATTAGCTTAGTTAATTTGCTTAACTAGTTAAGTGGTCTATAACTATTTAATTAGCTTGTTAGTTAGTTAAATTTGTATTATTCTTTTGGTCCCTCCGAGAGAGGGCGAATTGTGTAATAAGCGTGCATGTGTGTGATGCATCTCTGCCAACCCCCACTTCTTTCTCCCTTTTACTTACCTGCTTTGATGGTTAGTATTAGGGCATATTTTAATTAGCATTCTTATGCCATGCATGTGTGCATTCATTCATTAATATTGCATGCACCGGGCTCGGCGCATCATACTAACTGCATAGTATTTCAAATCTAACTTGAATACATGTTATCTGTTACATTTTACATGCCATCCATAGATTAGCCGAGCCTATTCTAGCTGCATTTTGCCTGTGATGTATTAGTCATCTTAACATGGACTTGGATCATACATTTGATTACTAACGTGTTCCTTGATTTGGCTTGGAGTACTAAGTGAGTGTTTATGCTTTAGCATCTCGCATGAGTGTGAATGTTAACATGAAAGTATGCTTGCCATGAGGCTAACTGCTTAGTTGATTTACTGTCTGATTGCCTGTGGGTGAAGGTTGGATTGTTTGAATTGGAATAATTCATCGAAATCTGTATTTTAGCCTACTTGCGAGTAGCAAACCTTAAATCATTTCCAAACAATGGATATGCGATGCTTTGTTCCAAATTAGGCGATCTAGTCTATACTTTTGTGTTGTGCGCATCACATAGTAATATTAGCTAATTAACCGAAATAAGAACACGTGACATTTTCAAAGCTAGATATCATGGTTAGTAGAGGCCGATCTTTGATCGGGCAAGCGGGGGTGCTCATAGCTGACCTTCCTCAATCGTACCCAAGTTTCCGAACCGATGCAACTTTGGTGATAACGGACACGTGGCCTTAGGCAAACGAGTCAGGGTTTCCTAAATTCCCCCATAAAAAATATTTAGGTGGCGACTCTATATCTGGCAAAGCAGTCTATGTTTGACACTTCTTTCAAAAAATCTGTTTTCAAAAATGATTTTCCGGATTTGGACTCTTTGATGATTCATCGGTCTTGCATTGCACTCTGCGAGATTAGATACAGGACCGTGACAAACGAGTCCGAACTATAGCATGAGGCCCACGGGCGCGTCCACACTGAGTAAGGATATCTTCATCAACAATGTCAGCATCATCAGGGTCATCATCCATAACAATATCATCCATAACTGGTGCATCATGTACATGATCATCATCCATAGCAATATGTGTGTCATCATCACGCACTCAAGCATATCCACGTCCACGTCCACATCCACGTCCACGTCCAGCATTCTCTAATTCACAGACTCTTCTATTCGAAGCTGTTACTGACCGACGTTGACTGGGACTAGCATCCATTTGCATACGAAAAATTGTTCACATCAATTCAATATAGCATATATAGCGAACACTAATAAATATACAATCAAATAGTTGAATTGTAGCCATCAAACAAATAGTTAGCAGCAGCTTATCGTAGCAAACCTCTTGATCCATGGTTATAGGCATAACATAACTATTCTATGAGATTAGTATTTCTATCCTAACATGTCTAATTATAATAGATAATATAAAGAAGACGACGAAAATTTGAAGTCATTAGATTGAGTAATGCATGCACGTTTATCATATTTTAAAGTATGGGTTCCAAAATGAAGAACTACTAGTAAAGATGTGTTACAATGTGTTATGAAGAACTACTACTAATTGTTTTTAGTGTTACAATGTGTACAATTAAGAATATGATGGCGTGAAGAATTGGACAGGTCTTAGTCTTGCATTATGCATGTAGTTCATTTGTCAGGTTTTTGATGCCCAAGGTAAATCGCTTGGGTGAAGTTGAATTGGTTACCTCCATTTGACAAGTAAAGATGTGCAATTTTTATTCTAATCATATGTTAATGGTTGTGCAGTTGATCAATGCTTTTGAAGCAATGATTTTCTTGATTTTATTGCTTGTCTAGTTTTTTCTTCTTCTTCTTTAAATCAATGCCTCAAAAGTACAAATGTGGTCTTGTATGAATCAGTGCCCAAATCTGACTAATGGTAGTTGTGAAGTAAAAGACCATCAGAGGGCATGAGTGATGCGTAGGTGATCAATAATAATATGTGCAATATATAACATTGTTTGATGCTTTGTTTGGTAAGAGAGGAAAGGGAAAGTTTTTAGAATCCTTTTTTTTTTTCCTTGTTTGTTGGCTTGTAATGTGAGTAAAGAAAGACAACAAGTAGGCAAAACAAAAAATTTACAAGTATATCTTGGTAGCCTACCTTTAGTCTTAAAAAAAAAGGGAAGGAGGGGGGGAAACACATTCGGAACTTCAGTGCCAAAATAATAGACAAATTTCAAAACTAGAAAACCGAATATTTATATTAAATTCGGAAGACAACTGTCGAACAAACTGAAAATATTCGAAACTACATAACTAAAATTTATTTCGAAATTCGGAATATAAAAGTCAAATATGTTAACTATTTTCGACACTATCTAGACGAAATATAACATTTTATTTGGTTTTTCAGTTTCAAATGTTATGCACTAATTCGACAAACCGGTGCCGACATCGCCAAACCGTCTCCAGCATGGAAAAATTCGATGATTTCAAGGCAATGGAGTGTGAAAAAATTTGAAAATGGTAAAATGCAAGAACAAAATGATAAATGTAAAAACAAAATAGGAAGATTCTTTACCTTCAACACTGTTTTGGAGGTAAAGAAATGCAGGTTCAACGAGGTCTTCCTTCCATGGATATCTTCAATGGAGGTTTTCACTTGAGCAAAGTCACAGGGGTGGGTCAAAAATATGAAAACTTTCAGACTCTGTTCTTCAAGGCTACGTGGGTGGAAAGTTCATAATTTGGTCTTCAAGTGTTCAAACAGTGTGCGGAAAGGAAAGGAATGATATTATTTGGTGTATGTATAATAATATTAAGTAAAGGTTGTAATTGTCATTTTTAGTGTGTACATTGAGAAAATTAATCAATATATAAATTAATAAAGATGTGTATTGAGAAAAGATCAGTTATTCAAGTGGGTGGAAATAGAATTTCCCCATTTTAGTGCCTGCGTTCCATTTAGTCAATTTCATTTTGTTGTATGGAGTGCACTATTTGGATTAATGGGACCTATTATGCGACATGTTTCAATAATCTGAATTATTCATTTTATCAAGTATTTTGTATATTTTATTTACATAAAAAATAAAATCAATCCGATAATTATAACTTGTTTAATTTATTGCGTTGTTATCAAAAAAAATGGACAAAAATTATGTTTTAAAAAAAAATCATATTTTTTTTTTTTTTTTGTAAAAAACATAACAAATTGAACTAATTATAATTATTGGATCAATTTAATATTTTTATAAATAAAATACTTAATAAAATGAATGATTCAAAATAGATTTCGGATATTAAGGGCCAAAACAGCAACGGAATCTACCTCGTATGAATACGGTGTGTTATTTTATGTTTTTTCGTGTACCTTGGATAAGAACAACATTAACATAGGGAATTGGAAAACAATTGACATGTAAAATCTCTAAAACCTTATCTGATTAGTGAAGCATATCAAGTCCGGATTATGCTACGAGATATTTGTATTTCCAATTCAAAAGACTTGGATGGTAACAGCATCTTCAACGGTAGTAGGCATTTTACCTATCTAAATATTACTATAAAGTATATATTTTGTTTTGCCTATCAACTGTTTTATGTTTTTACTCCAACCATGCTCTTTGTTTTAGTTATTTATCCAAATAGTATTAATTTTATAGAATGCCACGTCAACAACAAAGATGGAGGGAAATGATCCTAATGATTGAATATGTTTTGCCTAGTGTTGAAGGCTAGCTACATGTAGCTAGTGAATATAAGTTGAGCAAAAATGCCTAATCATATGCCTAGTGCATTGGAATTGAAAAAAGTGAATGCATTTTAACTAATAAGTATTATATGCCTAGTGCATTGGAGATGCTCTAATACTTCCGTTTGGTTTGTCATAACCTAAAAAAAATTAAAAAATCAAAAAATTACTATTTTATTTAAATCATATCATCTTATTTAAATCATATTACTTCTCTATCACATCGCTTCAAACTCAATCCATACATAACTCATATTTTATAAAAAGTCAAAAAATATACTTATTTAGATTACCCCAAGTCACCTCGTTACGATTCATTTGTTTAGGTAAAAAAATATTTTTTTTATTTTTTTTTTGTATTTTTTGTAATTTGGTATAATAAAAAATCAAAATTAACGAAAAATATTTTTTATAATTAATAAAAAAATAAATTTATTTGGACAAAAAACAAAAAATGTTTTACAAACCAAAATTTTATCAGCTCCACCACATTACTACTATTATCATCACCTCCAATACCACCACGGCCACAAACACCATCACCACCACCACCGTTACTACCATCTCTATCTCATTACTATCACCGCTGTCGCCGCCGTCGCACCACTACCATCACCACCCCCCCCTCCCCCTCCATTTTCATCCTACCGCCACCACTACTATTACCACTAATGCAACTATTAGTATATTAATTTTAAGAATGTAACTAAACGTTTTGTATGAAAAACATTTTTTTGCTAAAACAAACAAAAAGGTAATAAATTGGATAAAATACAAATATACTCATTGCGATTTACTTAAAATACGGATTACCCTCTATAATTTTAAAAATTACAAATACCCCATTATAAGAAACTTTTATTTAACAGAATTAAAAAATTATAAAATTCTAACTACTCTCTTATATAACAATAAAATTACTTGAATTGAAACATATTTTTGATATCACTAAAAACTGTTAATTGACTTGATGATTATTAATAAAAGTGGTCATTTGTTATGCGATTAAAAATTTAAGGAGTCAAAATGTAATTTTCATAACTACAGTAAACAATCCGTATTTTAAATTAATTTCAAGAGATACATTTGTAATTTACCCTAATAAATTATATTTTTTAAAAGATTAACAACTAAAGTATCTTTAAAATTAAAGAAAAAAAAAGAATCTCACAATATGAATCCTTAAATTCGTTTAAAATAACATAGTAAGGGAGTTGGTTTTTATATTTTTGAATTTGTGACAAATCAATTATTGGCACCTAAGTTACCATTGATTGTGAATAAAATCACAAATGCTAGGACCCCAAAAAATTGTGGCTCTTCTATCACTATCTTTCATACTCTTTTATATTTTATTTTGTAGATTCTATTTTGAATCCGTAACGATAATCCGAACCATTCATCTCACAAACCTTATAGTGAAAACGATTTTTGCAAAAAAATCAACTTTAGGTATTGATAAGTAAATGAACAAATCACATTTTATTTTATAAAATTGATGATTTAAGTTTAAACTCATAATTTCCTTTTATTTTAAAAAGTTTTTTTAGATATTAACTTTGTAGCGACTTTTTGACATTTTGTGAAAAAACGTGTTTAAAAGTAATAAATATTCATTGACTTTTTTGTATTGACTTTTTTATTTTATTTTTTTGACTAATTTAACCTCTTCTCAAACAAAGTCGTAAATAATTTATTGTTCAACTCTGCTGAGCTTATGAGATAAGGGATGGGGAGAAATTATGTAATAGGTTCGCCTTATATCCTACATTGTGTGCCGTTGTGTAACACCCAAAATAGGGAATAAGGGAATTGAATTGAGAGAAATATTATACTCAAGTTTAGGGATGGCAAAATCAATAAGATAAATAATTCACTCTCCAAATATGTTCATTTTATACAAGGCATAATTCTACAAAACACACATGTAACCTATACTCATAAATCAACCTGATATGAATATATGACGTGTACAAGTCCACCAAAAAATTAACATGATATGAATATATGACAAGCGTACAAGTTCACCAAAATCACAAGGTAAATATAATTGCCTTAAAGCTTACACAAATTAAAGAGGGCATCTCCGCTATCAAATAAGGTGCTCAGCTAATTACATAGAGCTCTGTCTGTTTCCTTTCCTTTCGGGACAGTCATTATTTGCAACCTAAATTTTCAAATTTATAATTTGCACCCTCAAATTTATTTGAGAATAATTGCTCCCTTCTTTTCTCTTTTGGGAGATCGATAATTCACAAAAAAAAAAAAAAAAGTGTGTTCGATTTGAATTTTTTGAATTAAATTTTTTGAAAACTAAGGTTTTTGATTTTCGTGTTTTTTTTGTTTTTAGTGAATATTTTTAAAATTTTAAACATTTTTTTTACTTTTTTAGATACACCTTACTTAGATGTATCTAAAAAGTAAAAATGTTGTGAAAAAATATTTTTAAAAATTAATAAATACATAAAAATACAAAAAATATACTGAATTCTCATATTTTTTTTATATTTTTGGTATTTAGTAAATTTTTAAAATGCTTTTTTCAAATTGTTTTTACTTTTTAGGTATATTTATGTTAGGTATGTCTAAAAATTAAAAAAATGGCTCAAAATATTTTAAAAATTCAGTAAAAACAAAAAAATACAAAAAATAAGAAAGTAGAATTTTTTGAAAAGTGTTTTTGAAAAATAATAACCAAGCGTAGTGAATGCTTTTTCAAGTGAAGTTGCAATCTTGTTAATCTTTTAGATCAATATGCGTGGATATAAAATATACATGTTGATTTTAGGTACAGTTGTTAGGAGTTTTCTTCCTACAATTGATCTCCACCTTCTCTCTTTAAATGCTTTCACATTAAAACATAAAATTCAACTTGGAAAAGCTACAAATCAATGGAACAATGAAAAAATTAATTACACTATAGATGGAATCTTTCTGACACACAAACACAACAACAACAAAAAAATTTGCACCAAGTACATGAAGGACTTGCACCATGCATACAGAAATTTTCATCACCGTAAAAATACAAATATTCTTTCACTGTCCCATTGATTTACAATTTCCCCTTTAAACTTCATCAATGATCCTTAAACTGTGTTTCAGTTAGATGGATTTGTTAGCCTATAATACAAATAATGATATATATATATATATGGGAAATTCTGTGATATATATCATATGCACCTTTGGTTATAACTTTTGTGTCTTTGATTATGATATTGTGTTATTAGTTATGACACGTTATGATATTAGTTATAATATTATTTTGATTATGATCTATGAATTGTTTGGTTATACCTCATGTGATATTTGATTATGACTACCAAAAAAAAAAAATTAGTTATGACTCATAATATTGAGTCATGTCATTTGAGATAATCAAACTCACAAATAGCATAACATATAATACACGCCTTTTGAGAATCAAACTCACAAATGACATAACATATAGTACACACCCCTTGATGACGTGCACCATATATTTCCCTATATATATGGTGTTACTTCTTAATATCATATCCAAATAAGTGGTATATGGTGTTACTTCTTACCTAGTTTGCTAGGAAAAATTGCCAAATTGGGAAAGTTTGTAAGACAGTAGGCTATACCTGGAGGAATGGTAGGTCATATAGTAACGATTGTTGATATAGTATAGAAAGAATATTTTTGCTATTTTCATACTCCTGATATATTGTCTTAATTTCTATGTATATATTGTTAAGAAAGGTAGCTATCTCTATTTCTTGTGTAGTCTTTATGATCAGAGTAAAATTGTAACGACTACAGATGTAGCACTAGTTTTTAGATAAACTAGGTAAATCTTCTGCCTTGTGCGTTCATTCTTCTTTATTTTCGTATATCATCTGGCAACTTTCAATTTTAATCAAAAAGTCACTATAAATTGTCACATCACTCTCTCTACTTTTTTGCACATCATTTTCGTAAAAAGTAAAAAAACTAAAATAACACGTTCCCAAACGTAACAATGATGATATCTGATGCAGCGACAGGCAGCAGCTGGGGGGCAGAGGGGGCAAAGGTTTGCACTAGTGATGGTGGTGGCGGCAAAAGGGATGGGAAAAATTGTGTCCTGCAAAACTAGACTCTGCATCAACACTTTCCTATGCAATTTGAATATTTAAATTGAACACCTCCATAATTCTTCAATCAAATCTTCATTATTTGAATAAAAGGACAGAGAATTAATGACATGAGAAACCAATAGCCTAGACTTAATCAAGAACATATATAGTGAACTTGGTTGAGTAAACATAAAACGTGGACTATATGATGGATTCAGTCTAATAATTAACATAAAGGGATGGTAACGGGTCAGGGTTTTTTAGGTTTTGTGCTTGAATTCTTGATTTTAAGCTCAATTATTTTAGTAATACAATTTCATACTTTACCGTGGCCCCCCTATACTCAACCCTACCCTATCAATGCTTTCCGAAACTTTTTTATTACAGTCAAGTTGGGTCAAATACAATCAACTCTGGTCATTTTTGCCATCCCTTATAATAACCCTAAAAACCCAAAAGAATATATATATATATATATATGAAGTAACAAAAAGAACACTTCACAAAATTACAATGGAAACTTGCCTAACTTTCCATCTTATCACAGCAACTGAACATTTTCAAAGAAGAAGAACAAAGATAGTCTTAAGGCCTGGTGAATGGTGATTTAGTAAGCATTTGATAGAACCCCATGCAAAGAACTTAAGGAATATGATGTTATCAATATATCTATCTTATAATCCTCCTCCACACATAAACAAACTAAAATTTCAAGTACCATTTAAGCCCATCGTCCATGCCTACCCTATCAAAAAGCTTCAAGTAAGTTCTCATGCCATGACAAGGAACTCATGCAATTTTAACTGTAACCCAAGGGCACATGCCAAACTAGTATTTTCATGTTGGGACATGTAGATTTGCATTGCTTTCAACCCTTTTCGGTTAAGCTGGTAATGCCATGCCTATTAAGGAGCCAAGTGTCACGGCATTGGTTTTTCCAAGCCAACCGTGCGGCCTTAGATGCTTATTCACGCCTTGCTTGCACCTAAGTAAGCCTTCTTTGGAAGAGAGCTAGGAGAAGATTGCACACACGAGGGAAACTTAGAGAAACTTAGAGAGAGCTCTTGGAGAATGCTTGTATTATATTGCTTGAATGCTTTACAACTCTTGGATTCACTTGGGTGGTCTGGGCAAATGAGGCCCTCCCCTTTTATAGGCTACAATGATCATTCTAGAACTACAAGGATGGAGAGTGTTCTAGACACTTGCTCCTACTACATCTTAGTAGATTATTCTAGAACTATTCTAGAATATACACATCTACAAGGATCTACATATATCTACAATTATGTACAAGTATCTACAAACTCTAGGGAGTTCTAGAATGTTCCAGTGATCTCCAGAACCTCCCAAGGCTTTCTTAGTAAGGGACAGCTTCAAAGTTTATCAGTCTGTGACATTCTCCCCCACTTAATGCGGCGACGCCCTCGTCGCATCTTCTTCATGAAACTGTTGTATCTTTTCTTGGAACTGCCATAATGCCTCTGCCGGTTCCCAACTTGCTTCACAATCAGGCAAGCCCTTCTATTTCACCAAGTGCTCATGACTTGGGGCATAGTTTTGTCGTCAGACCACTCGGTCTGCTAAGACAAACTCTACCTTCTTGTCATAAGTTGCTGTGATGCCCAATGGTGCCCTCTTTGACTTGCCTCTATCCGGGTCTTCCTCGTCTTTGTAGTAGGGCTTTAAGCAGCTCACATGGAAGACTGGGTGAAGTTTGAGATGTGGGGGTAAGTCAAGTTTGTAAGCAACCTTACCCACCTTCTTGGTTATTTGATATGGCCCATCATAACGGCGTACAAGCCCCTTGTGTAGGCCTCGGATGAACTTGTTTTGGCTAGACAAAATCTTTACCATAACCAAGTCACCAATATTGAACTACCGGTGCCGCCTCTTCTCATCCGCCCACTTCTTCATCTTCTTTGTTGCCTTGTCAAGGTAAGATCGTGCCACATCTACTTGTTCATTCCAAGTGTTTAGCAACCTTGTAGGCCGATGGACTCCTTGTTGAGTTGGTCACCAAAGAGTGGGGAGTGAGTGGTTGTTGCCCCGTGGCTAGCTCAAACGGACTCCGATTAGTTGCCTCACTCCGTTGCAAATTATAGGAGAATTGGGCTATATCAAGCAACTTAGCCCAATCACGCTGGTTGGCATTTACAAAATGCCTCAAGTATAGCTCCAACAACGCATTCACCTTTTCGGTTTGTCCATCTGTTTGAGGGTGGAAGCTAGTAGAGAAATGGAGTGCTGATCCCATTAGTTTGAACAACTCGGTCCAAAACTTGCTCGTAAGCCTTGAATCTCGGTCACTAATGATGGACTGTGGCAAGCCCTAGTACTTCACCACATGCTTGAAGAACAGCTTGGTTGTCTCCTCGACTATGAACGTAGCATACTTGGAGAAGTGGTCTACCACCACTAGAATACTCTTGCACCCTTCAGACTTGGGCAGTGCCACTATGAAGTCCATACTAATGCTTTCCCACGGTTTGCTAGGTATGGGGAGTGGCTCCAATAACCTTGCTAGACTTTGATTCTCCACCTTATCTTGTTGGCACACAAGACAAGTCTTTACATATTGCTCTACCTCATCCCGCATTTGTGGCCAATAGTAGGTTGACTCCAATAGTGCCTGAGTATGTTTTTGTCCCGGATGGCCAGCCCATTGGGTGTCATGGCATTCCTTGATAAGATTCCTCCATTGGTTTCCCCACTTTGGAACATAAACTCATCGCCCCTTTGTGTAAAGGATGACATCTTCTTCCCAAAACCACTTAGTTTTTCCCTCTTTGGCCTTTGCTACCAAGCTCTTAGCCAGGTTGTCGTGCTCCATGCCTTCTTTGATTAGAGTTAGCAACTCCCCTTTTAGCTTCACAATGGTAGCTAGCTCAGCCTTCCTGCTTAACGCATCCACTACAAGGTTTGCCTTGCTGGGCTTGTACTCCATGACATAGTCGAATTCGGCCAAGAAGTCTTGCCACCATGCTTGCTTCGGACTTAGCTTCCGTTGAGTCTGGAAATTGTTGGTTTTCACCACAAACTTGGAACCAAGTAAGTAGTGCCACCAAGTCCGTAGACAGTGTATGATGGCCGCCATTTCCTTTTCTTCGACCGTATAGCGCCGCTCCGTGTCATTGAGCTTCCGACTTTCGTAGGCAATAGGATATCCATCCTGCATCAAAACACCTCCAATGGAAAAGTCTGATGCATCAGTGTGTACCTCATATGATTTGGCATAATATGGTAGAGCCAAGACTGGTTCCTTCGTTATTGCCTCCTTTAGCTTGTCGAAAGCATCTTGGCATTTCCCCATTCATTCCCATGCCTTGCCTTTCTTGAGCATGTCAGTGAGAGGGGCTGTTATCGCTGAATAGCCCTTGATAGACCGCCAGTAGTAGTTGACAAGCCCAAGAAAAGACCGTAGTTCTGTTACCTTGGTGGGCGGTTCCCATTCTTTGATAACCTTCACCTTGTCTTCTTCTATACTAAGCTTGCCTCCCTTTATCTTGTGGCCGAGGAATGAGACTTTTTCTTTCGCAAATGAACATTTTTCTTTCTTGACATATAACTCATTCTCCCTCAGCGTCTTGAAGACGGTCCGTAGGTGCTCGACATGTTCCTCAAGGGTGGTGCTATAGATGACTATGTCATCTAAATAGACCACTACGAACTAGTCCAAGTAGGGATGGAAGATCTTGTTCATCAATGTGCAAAATGTGGCGGGTGCGTTGGTGAGGCCAAAGGGCATTACTAAGAATTCATATGAGCCATAGCGAGTCACACAAGCAGTCTTTGGCTCATTACCTTCTGCAATCCGCACTTGATAGTACCCCGACCTTAGGTCAAGCTTAGAAAAGAACTTCGCATGCCCCAATTGATCAAATAGATCGGCAATCAAAGGAATGGGGTATTTGTTTTTGATTGCTACCTTGTTGAGAGCCCAGTAGTCGATGCATAGCCGCAATGATCCATCGTGCTTCTTTTGAAACAACATCGGTGCTCCATATGGTGCCTTTGATGGTTGGATGAAGCCCGCATCCAGCAAGTCTTTTAGTTGTCTCCGTAGTTCCTCCAACTCCGGTGGAGACATTCGGTATGGTGCCATTGCTGGTGGCTTGGCGCCTGGCTCCATCTCAATCTTGTGGTCCACCTCCCTCCTAGGTGGAAGTCTCTTAGGCAACTCGGGTGGCATAATATCTTTGTACTCTTCAAGCACCTTGTTAATCTCCTTTGGTGTCTCCATTGGAGCATCTTCCTTTTCTGGAGCATCTTCCTTTTCTTCCCCATCGCCTTGGAGGATAGCTAGATAGGTGGTCTCTCCCTTTTTAAAGCCTTTCTTGACTTGCATTGCAGAGAGTACCTTCTTGTCCGCACTGGCCTTGGCCACCGTGGAGACCTTGCATGGTCCACCCTCAAGAATGCACATGGAGTTGTAGCGCGGTAGTGGCACTACATTGAATTGTCGCAGAAACTCCATGCCTAGCACAATGTTGAAGTCATCCATTTGTGCTACAGAGAAGTCTACCTTTCCATGCCAAGTGCCCAACTGTAGCTCCAACCCACCAGCTACACCATTAAGTGGCTTCGCCTCAGCATTCACCGTATTGAGCCATCCTTGACCCTTGTCGACCTTGAGGCCCAACCGCTTAGCTTCTTCATCCTTGATGAAGTTGTGTGATGCTCCTGTATCCACCATCACTTGGGTAGCCTTCCCATTGATATTGACATTCACATACATCAAGGATCGGTCTTTGTTGTTTGCTGGCACCGGGTTGGCTTTGAGAGCATTGAGCAATTGAACACACCCCATGTGTGCTTGCTCTTCCATCTCTTGCTTCTCAAGCATTGCACTAAGGTTCTTCCTTTTAGGACAATCTTGTGCCCAATGTGGCCCATCGCAAATGAAGCAGTTGTCCCTGGGCTTGATGTCTTTCTTGGCATCTTTTTTCCAATCCTTGCCCAATGGTGGCTTGCCTCCAACTTCTTTGTTCCTTAGAGCTTTATAATCTTTTGACTCTTTAGCCCACTTTGCTCCCCCACCTTTGCCTTGACCATCCTTGGTGGACTTTGAGTTAGAAGGTTCCGGCTTTGTGGACTCCACCAATATCTCAGCTACAGTGAGTGCAGTGGAGATGTCTTTGACTCCTCTTCGTTGTAGCTCCAATTGTGCCCATTGCTTAAGACCAGCTGTGAAGTTGAAAAGTAAGTCATCATCACTCATATTGGGAATTTGAAGCATTAACCCGGAGAATTCTTGGACATAGTCCCGGATAGAGCGGGTGTGCTTCAACTCCCTCATTTTCAGTCGTGCTTCATGTGCCACATTTTCGGGATAGAATTGCCTCATGAGTTCATTCTTAAATTCTTCCCATGAGGAGATAGTGCATGCCTTTTTCTATTTCCGCATGCTTACGACGCCACCAAATTCCAGCAAGCTTAGTGAGGTAGAGAGAAGCAGTGCGTACCTTAGCCATTTCATCATTTAAGTTCAAGGCTTCAAAGTACCTCTCTAAGTGCCAGATGTAGTCGTCCAGATCCTTAGCATCCTTTTTACCATCAAACTCTTTAGGCTTTGGTGCCTCAAGCCTTGGAGTGAATCCCGCATTAGTGGTAATGCCACCACTGGCTACTGCTCGCTTGCACATAGCCCAGTCCGCCCGTGTCTTCTCCAAGCCTTCCTTTAGCTCTTGGACTTGGTCTTGGAGTTAAGAGATAGCCTTCAGGATCCATTCCTCAAAGTCATAGCTTTCTTGCTTGTGGGTCTCATGGTTGGTCCGGATGGTGTCCCGCACGGACTCAAGCAATTCCTCAACTTGGCATTCCAACTTGCCGTCAAGTTGCTCCATCCCTTGTTCCAACCAATCCAACCGCTCCTTGACATCGGCCATAGCCACTTCAACCTTGACCACTTGGGTCTCCATGGCACTCATGATGTCGCGTGATTTGTCTTTGGCCTTCTTGCCCAAGTTTGCAACAGCCTCCCTTCCGCGGTTCTCTTCGGTGTGAATTACTTCCGACATGGCGCTCTTCCTTCCTTAGTCACAACGCCTTCGTAACCTTGGCTCTGATACCAAGTGTCACGGCCTTGGTTTTTCCAAGCCAACTGTGCGGCCTTAGATGCTTATGCACGCCTTGCTTGCACCTAAGTAAGCCTTCTTTGGAAGAGAGCTAGGAGAAGATTGCACACACGAGAGAAACTTAGAGAAACTTAGAGAGAGCTCTTGGAGAATGCTTATACTGTATTGCTTGAATGCTTTACAACTCTTGGATTCACTTGGGTGGTCTGGGCAAATGAGGCCCTCCCCTTTTATAGGCTACAATGATCATTCTAGAACTACGAGGATGGAGAGTGTTCTAGACACTTCCTCCTACTACATCTTAGTAGATTATTCTAGAACTATTCTAGAATATACACATCTAGAAGGATCTACATATATCTACAATTATGTACAAGTATCTACAAACTCTAGGGAGTTCTAGAATGTTCCAGCGATCTCCAGAACCTCCCAGGGTTTTCTTAGTGAGGGACAGCTTCAAAGTTTATCAGTCTGTGACACAAGGCAGCATGTGACATGACAAATAGGTTTGAGAGACATGCTTCAACATAGTATTTAAGAACCAAAGCTAAATTGAGAATTTTGAAACTTAGCTTTTGTAACATTAACTTGATGAAAAGATGGCCAACACATAAGCTGGGGTTATAATTTCTAGTAGCTTTCAAATGCAACTTCTTTTCACAGAAGTTCTCAGCATCATCTCATATCAGCAACAATACAATTACTAAAATACTTGACGTTAGAGGGGTGTTTGTGTGTGCACACACGCAGACCCTTGTACTGGCAACAAAAACTCAGTTATGTTCTACCTCTCTCAATCTACACTAACGGTTGGTTCCAGAAGCAAGAGAATTAGAACTAAAACTGGCATGACAGTTCATGGAAAGATGCAGGCAAATCTATGGTTCTCAGGCTGCAGCATATACAAGAAAATTCCACCAGCAACAGAAACATTAAGAGACTCAAATTGTCCTACCATTGGAATGCTTACAAGCTCACATACCTGCCTAGTTTTTGCTGAAAGGCCACTCCCTTCGCCACCCAGGACCAAGCACAGTGGCAAATTTGCTAAAGAATCTGCAAGCCCTTGAGAAAGCCTAGACACTGGCTTCGATTGTTCATTACTCTCAGGATGACCAGCCAAAATCTTCAGATGGAATTTATTTCTGAGAGCTTCTAGATGAGTCCAAGTTCCAGAAACTATAGGAAGCTGAAAGGAGGCTCCTCGGCTGGCTCGAAGTGCTTTCTCATTGAATGGATCACAACAACCAGGAAGCAGAAATGCACCACCCTGTTAGCAGTTGGTGCACAAACTCCAGTTTACTTATTTTTATCTTTCACATAACCACAACAACAACAACAACAATAATAATAATAACAATAAAAGAATAAAATTTTAATTGTCTAAAAGACTGCAGAATAATTGAAGGTGTGTGTGTGTTGGGAGTGTTTTGGGGTTATGAGGGAATTTGTAAGGAGTATCCCCATGTGTCAACTATACCTCAGTTTCGTTGATTAACAGGTACGTAATTTGATTGACCAACAAAGATGTGGGTTTCATACATGAAACTGATTACAGCACTTACAGAACTTGAACTTGTGGAAATTTTACATAATATAATCTGAAATTATTCAACAAGTCAGACTGAACATATCCTTCAGAAAATGATTGATACTTAATAAAAAGAGTATCATAACATAAGATTCCATTTTTAACTTTTATTTTATATAGATATATTGGAAAGTGTAACACATAAAAGATCAAAGCAATTTGAAATTTGCAACTCATTTCCTACCCATTTAAAGGCCAACGCTGACCTAAGTAGCGTGCCAACATTACCAGGGTCCTGCAAGAACAATTCTACGAATTAGAGATATGCATATTTGAAATAATTGTGAAAATTATTTGAATGCAATAATAGTCGTATGATTAAACCAAGTCCTACAAACAATTTTAATAAATATCTCAACTCAACCAAATTCTTTTGGTGAGTGAAGTGACATTGGCAGATTGCTGGCCTTCATGTCTAAAGCATTCCGGAAATATTTGTTGGTTGAATTACCATCCATGCCCATCTTTTCAACACTATTTGATTTGTTTATTTTGTTAAGTCAAATTGAATGGTCTCTGGACATTTTCCAGCAGAAAGCATGAGTAGAACTTTATAAATTGCCATATGCAAGAAGTTCAAAGAAACTATATCGTATTGGGTTTTTTTTATTTTTTATTTTTTAATGAAGAAGTAAGAAGATTTGACATTAATGAACAAATCAACAGGTGAATCTACATTGCAAACAATTATAAGGGGTAAGTAGAACAATAACCTGGATCCCATCAAGTACTAGAATTCGATGTGGCGATGGAAACCATCCATGACAGTCAGCCTCTTGCCAGTTATCATCTAAATTATGGAATGTTGAAGGAATTTTCAAAAGGGCAATTGCTTCAACAGATTCAGTTGACTGCAATCCGGAAAGCTTCTTCATAACCATTGAGCTAACACGAACAATACGAATACGGCGATCATCTAAACCATCAGGAATCTTGGCTTTATCAAGTACAAGTAAACAATCGATTGTAGCAGGTCGTTCTTGCTTTGATTCCTGAAACCTGTATATTTCCCTGCGAACAATTCATGGTGTTATTGCATATTCACCTAATTATATAATCATGTATTCACCTAATTATCATTTATCTTTTACGATGGATAATCTTTTTTTAACCATTTTTACTTCTTTGAGACCAAAAGGGGAAAATTTCAATTTTTCAAAAATTTGTAAAATGCCAAGAACAATTCTTGATAACAATTTAATCATACCCACATAGAAAAACTAGTTGTACATATCATGATATTGGAATTGAGGGTTTCTTTTCTCTGCTGGTAAAGGGGGTTCATCTTGTGGTAGACTCCATACATAAGAAATTTCATCAAAATACACGTATTTCTATACACACACACACACACATAAGAACAAATTGACAGAAAGAAACAAAAAAGAAAAGGAGACAGATAAGCAGAAACCCAATTCAATTTGGAGTAGCGTAGAATAAAAATTTGCAAATGCAGAAGGATTTTAGAGGAAAGTATAATAAATAAGACCTAATAGGGGTAGAGCCAACAACGAGAGCGGAAGCATGAGAGTGGCGGTAAGAAGAGCTGAGGCGAAGCTTGAGGCAGTGCTTCACGAATGGATTGGAAGTGCTACTGATGAATTTCACGTCACCAGCCAAAGGAAATCCCACAACCCAACTCGAACTCGAACTCGAACCACCACTATCATCATCATCACCATCATCACAGTAACCATTAGGAGGATTCCCCAGAGGTTGCTTTGTTCTGGTTTGAGCAATTGAAAGCTCGTTAGCCTCCCATTTTGATGCTCTAATCAGTGGCACTTGAGCAGATGATACCCAACATGCATTCGCACATTGCATTTTTTTGTTTTGAACATAGGCAGCATAACATTTGTTTTTTAATAAGACTAGCTGGTGGGTCAGCGTGCGTGTATAATTTAAATAAATAAAAATAAAATAAATTATTTACTAGGTATTGTATTAATTAAGTGACAAGTGTTTTATTTAATAAATTTAAGATTTTGCTTATCTAAATTTTTTTTTTTAATTATAAAATACGGAACTCCTAGTAGAAGGGGAAGTCACAGAATTTTTGTATAATTGTACTAATCTTTCTTGGTAGTGATTGAGAACTCTAATACTAAAGCTCTAACATGAGCTCTAGTGAGGTGTCAAACAAAAAAAAAAAAAACAAAAACAAAAACAAACCAAAGCATCATATCAGCATGTGGAATTCACTCTTAGAGCTCCATTAGAACTCTCAAATTAGAACTCCCAAACATTATTAATCTCGTTTTTAGTCAAGTTAAAGAAAATAGAACTGATATAGATGTGAAAATATAAAGATAAATAAGATAAAATATATATTCTAAAATAAAAGTTAGGGTTAATTACACTTTTCACCGTAGTTTGATCCAAAATTTCATTTTAGTCCCTATAGTTTCAAATTGAACAATTTAATCCATATACTTTAAGTATAGTTTTAATTTGGTCCATATGTCTAAATTGGAAGTTAAAATTACTAACAATTTTATAACACTTGTTACTTTTCTAAGATGTATATGTAAACAAAATTAACATACATTTAGATGTAAGGACCAAATTGAAATTGAGATTAAACTATAGAGTTTAAATTGTTCAAATTGAAATAATAAAAATTAAAGTGAAATTTGGATCAAATTATAGAGAGAAAAGTGTAATTAATCCTAAGAGATATAATAACATCATTTTTTGCGTTCCTATGACTAATCAATTGCGCATTGTTTGGGATGATCTAAATAAATGCACTTTTTGACTTTTTATGAAATATGGGTTGGATTTGAATTAGGTTTAAAGTGATGTGTTAGAGAGGTGATGTGATTTAAATAAGATGATGTGACTTAAATAGAATAGTAACTTTTTAATTTTTTGACTTTTTTGAAACTTGCCAAACCAGCCCTAAGTACTATTTGAATTATAATTTTATGAGAGTTCAATATAATTATAACATATTTGCGAGTTTATTATATTTTTCTACAGTGTAATTTACACCTGCTAATATGATATAAAAACGTCCCCAAAACAAGTAGAAAAAATAGATGGTAAGGTATGACTCTTCTTTCTTTCACAAGAGATCAAACGAAGGGTAAAATGAGCACAATTTACTTCAAAGTCTCCATTAACCCTCTAAGAGCATCTCCAACGGTGAATCAAAAATTTCACCAAATCTGAGTTAAAAAATGGTCATTTCTTGAATTTGATACTTCAGGCTCCAACAGTTCACCTTCACCAAATCTATCCCGGGATATAAAAACGTCCCCAAAACAAGTAGAAAAAATAGATGGTAAGGTATGACTCTTCTTTCTTTCACAAGAGATCAAACGAAGGGTAAAATGAGCACGATTTACTTCAAAGTCTCCATTAACCCTCTAAACAGTCTCAAAAATAGCCCAAAAATAATTCACCTACATACGGTTGATATGAATCCAATGACACAAATAGCAATCAATTTTGAGTTGCAATTAAAAAGTTATGCCACTTTTCGTGACTGCAAAGAAAAGAAAAAGAAAGAGATTAAAAGAGACAAATTATAAAGCCTGGTCTGATACTATGGCGAAACTCAAACAATCCCCCAAAAGGAATTAATGTGGTTCAACAATGCCTTCATTGACAGGATGAGAGAATTCACTTTTGGAGATATATGAATGAGACCCTTAAATGAAAAGGAGATATAACCACCAATAAGAAGAACATCAATAAATGATTCCCCCAACACAAAATATTATCTTATGATTTTAGATAATATCCATGATTCCTAAAATTTAAGCTTGTTTGGTTTCACTTTTCAAGGTTTACTTTTCAGAAAATTAAAATTTTTTGTTTTCTATATTTTTTTGTTTTCACTAATTTTTTTTTTAATATTTTAAGTAATTTTTTAAAATTTTTAGATACACCTAACATAAATACACTCAAAAAATATAATATTTGTAAAAAAAAAACTTAAAAAAATTCAATAAACCCCAAAAATAAAAATAAAAACATGAAAATTCAGTATATTTTTGTATTCTTGTGTATTTATTGATTTGTGAAAATAATTTTTTTATAAATATTTTACTTTTTAGATACATCTAAATAAGATGCATATAAAAAAAATAAAAAATTACTTAAAATTTTAAATATATTCATGAAAAACAAAAAAACTCAATTTTAAAAAAATTAAATCCAGAATTGAAACCAAACACATTATCACTAGCATAATGACATTATTTACATAGTATTATTAACAAATGATAAATTGCAAAACACGTCTAATCATCTCTTATTTTTGAACTACTTAATAAAGATAAGTCAATATTAACTTGTTTATAAAAAATCTCACGTCATTAATTAAGAGCACAATATGAACAATATCATATAAATCTAGCAATAGCTATCGCAACAACGTTAGAAGTATCTTTTTATTATTATTATTATTATTATTATTTGTGTGAGTGATTTTCTGACCACACTGCCCGCTTAGTAATCAGCTGGAGAGCACCGGCAGAATAGATGGTTTCAGCAAACTTGTAACAGAAAGAAAAGGCTCCGGCGGTGGCTCTTCCACCCGGGGGCACTCCGACGATCAAGTCAATATATCTCTCAAAGATAATCAATTGTTAAACTCACTACCCAAAGCATAAAACTGCGTACCTTAGACCCATGGGGGTGCCTTTCTTTTATAGTTTACTCAAGCCAAGTCCCACTAGAAGCCTGACTTCTATGGACTCCAATTCAGTGCTTACGTTGGATTCCTCAAGAGATAAGGATAAACTCCCTAAGAGCTTTATCCTTATCTTAGCAAAGTCTTCTCTTTACTCTAGGACTCTTGCCCCCCTTATCCATTATCTGCTTATCTCGGATTCCGATATCTTTGGAGATAACCTCGGCGTCACAACCAGGACACGTGGCACTTCGGCTGACACGTCGGCATCACCTTGCCACGTGTTGGTATTCAGAAAATACATCCCCACAACTGCCCCCTAGGTTTTATTACCTCGGCATTCTGAGGTGATGGAACCTATATCTGTATTTTCTTCCAGTAAATCGGCTTAAGATTTGACAGCCGAGAACATTCATTTCTGGCCGACATACTTTCCCTAAAAAATCAAAGATTTTTAAGGAACTTTTTACGCGTATGAGTTGTCATGCACTTCAATTCAACCGTTTTAGACACGCGTTTCTTTCTTACTGGCTCGTGCCTGTGATGCGCCCATAAGTCATCTCTTCTTCGCATGCGCCCTCTGACGTATGCGCTCTTTTAGGCGTATTGATTGCTTTTGCCGCCGTTTTGATTTTTTGAAAAAATCTTTCTCCCTTTCTTTCGTCTCTTCACTTTTGCATCTGAGTTCTTTTGCTTTTTTCTCTCTCTAAAACTCTGTCGCTCGAATCTGCCATTGCTTCAAGCTCCAGGCTCTGCAACTTCATTCGTCTCTCTGGTGAGGCTCTCGCTACTCTGTCACTTCTGTAACCATCGTCTGTCTTCGGCGAACTTCATTCCGGCTTCAATTTCTCTGGTAAGCCACTATTCTTTATGTATTCAGTTCGCTGATGTTCTTCTATCTTGTTGTTGCCATTACTGTTCTGTTTAAACTGTTAATTCCGTGAATCATATTCATTGTTCACTACTTCTTGTATTTTTGCCACTGTTCTTGGCCCTTTAGTTCTTGTTTTCTTTATGCTTTTGAGAACCCCACTTCTGTTCTTCATTCTGAAACTGCGTTCTGGTTTCCTATGTTGTTTTCCAGATCTCTGCCTTCAATTTTTGCTTTCAATATTTTGCCTTTATAGATTTAGGTTTGGGATTTGTCTATAGAACCTATCAATTCTTAGGAAAAAATTGAAACAATCCTTACCAGCATATACCTAGTAGGTTGTCTTACCTTGTCTTTCTCTTTGTTGTTGAGTCGTGTATATATATATATATATTCCTAAAATCTGTTAAGACGCTTAAGATAAAACTATATAAAAAGAAATCTAAAAAAAATCTAGTTTTTATAAAGTGTATATATATATATATTCACTATTATATATTTATGAGATTTGATCTTCAATTTAAGAATGAGCTCAAGAAAAAAAAAAAAAAAAAAAAACCTGTAGATCTAATGATGTAATTGATGGTAGCTTCGAAAATTAAAACCAAACAGGTCTTAGTTTGTTTATGTTGAATCAGATGTAACCTTGTGAATTTGATTGTAGAGGTTTGTTGATTTGGGTTATGTGCAAAAAGTGTGGCTGGATAAGAATACAAGAAAGCTTTTGTTTGTCAATTTCTTCAAACGGGTTGGCAATTACTGGAGTTGATGGAGATACTGGAACCGTATTCCGACCGATGAATCTAGGTGAGGACTTGAAATTGTTGTTGATTTTTGTTACTTCTGTGGGTACTTTGAATATATACATATATATAGCTACAGATTATATATATACATTAATTTTTGATAAAAATTATGTTGTTTAAATTAATTTAGGTTTTTGTTTTGGGTTGTAATTTTAGAGAGAGAATGAGGAAGACCCATGGCATGCCTTTGCAAATTTAAAGATGTTCTAGGGGTATTTTGGTCTTAAAATGTAACTTACTCTTTGTATGGGCGTTTGAACTACACAGTCCGTTAACTTGGCTGGAAAAGTGAACGGTTCATTTTAGTCCACCAACTACAAAGGGATTATGTAGTAATATTTGAATGTTAGGAAAGTAATCTACACATGACCCAAATTATAGAGAGTAAAGTGAAGTTTGTCCTAAAAATAAAATAAACAATTGTTGCTTTTTCTTGCTTTGAGAAAACCGGGCTTGCTTCAAAATTTTCAAACTTAGATTAAAAAAATATATTTTTGATTATTTTTAAAGTAATTTTTATTTATTTTATTCTATC